TGATCTGACTGTGAGGTGAACTTGGTGTTTATATACAACACATCTCATCATTCTTTTCAGCTGCGTTTCCAGCCCTTGCAGTCTTTGGAATCTTAATTCTGGCCCCATGGAGAGGTGTTCTCTCAGGCAAGCATCACAGGCAAATGTGTTAATGTGTCCCATGAGACTCCAGGCAGGTCCCCACGGAGACTCAGGGCACCAGGCCAAGAGCAGCTGTCCTCTCCTGAGGTCTCCAGACTGAGGCTGACTTCCAGCTGTGCCCCTGAGGGCAGCATTCGAGTGAGTTCCATCTCCTATCCTGCCACCCAGGAGTGTCTGTGTGCCTGCTTCGTGGGCATTATCCACCTGCAAACATCGCTCAGCTCGGGAAACCACTGCAGGGGCTGCTATGTGGGTAGAAGGAGGGGCACACCTGTCCTCAAGGAGCCCCCATCCCCACTGGGAGCGGAAATGAGCGCCTGTGAGAAAACATGCGTACAAGGCCAAGTATGGTCAGTGTCTGGGAATGACACGAAGATCTCCAACACACGGATAGACCACCGAGCAGTTATTCATCTAACACACAGGAGAGTAGCCCTTCCGCTCCTCCGGGTGCCAGGCCTGGCTTGTGCTCCCGTCATTGCCTTTAAGCCTTACAACTACCCTGGGAGGTCCATGCTGTTGCCATCGTTTGAGAGAGAAAACAGAGGTTCAGGCAGTTTTAGGAACGTGCCAAAGGCCAGACATCTAGTGTGTAGTGTTGAGCCCCCTTGGTTCCATCTCTGAAGCCCAGGACGCCCACTCATGGTCCTACCATTGGGGTGGACTTTACCCATGAGAAGCAGGCCCACTCTCAGGGCACAGCCTGAGGGCCGTACCGAGGGCAGACCCCAGGTGTGCCGTCTCAGAGACAGTGGAAAAGGAGAGTGAGGCTGGCTTGGCAGGACTTCAGGCCAGGCGCTCATGCTTCAGAGAGGGGCCACCAACACCAGACCCAGTCAAGCGATGCTGGGCTCAGGAACCAAAGTACCGCCACATGCCCACAGCTCAGTGACCCCTCGGCACTGCAGCCCTCACACTTGGGGACCTGGGCTCTCCTGCCCCTGGGCCTGAGGAATTCCCTTCCGCCGAATCCTTCTCACTTCCACTAGAACAGTGTGTCCCAAAAAACCAAAACGCCGATGACTGTGCTTCCCCTTCAGAACCAGAGACGTGGAGGCAGCCCTGTCTCGTGTTTGGTTTGTTCCCTGAGGATTAGAGCCTGGTCCTCTCTCTGTCCTGAGTGGACATCCACTGTGGGGTCGGCCAGCAGCAGGTGAGGGAACCTTGCCCAGCAGTCATCTGGCAAACAGGCAGGTGCCAGTGAGACAAGACATCAGTCCCCATGTGGATGAGGACATGGCCACAAACAGTGACTGTCCACAAAATCAATGGGGAGAAAAGAACAGTGGGGTGGGGATGGGAGGGAGCAGGTTCAAGAGTGCAGGCTGGGAGCCAGGGAATCAGGAAGTGGAGCTGAAAGGCAGCGAGGTGAGGGGTCAAAAGCCTGGGGAATGAAAGGTCAGAGGTTGATGAGGAAGAGTCTGGGCAAGGGAGCCAGGTGCAGGCAGATTTAGTGCCAGCGACCAGTGGGCACAGGCCAGGGGTGCAGGTGCAGCTGGCAGCTGGTGCCGGCAGCTGTGGAGAGGATGGGTGAGAAGATGATCTCCACAGTCCACAAGGAGCAGGCAGTCTGGAGACAGGGCTCCCTTATCAGCAAACAGGCTACTCGCAGCACGAGGCCAGGCCACTCCAGGCCAGTTCTATACCACTTGTCCACTATGCCTGCCAAACAAGCCCGTGGCAAAGAAATGGATCCAGGCAGAAGAGGACCACACAGTCTGCAGAGCAGAGTTCTCCTTTACTTCTTAAAGACCCACGGCCTGACTGCACCGATGGAAAGCTCACCGAGGCCCCCGCGGCCTCCTGCCCACAGCCTGCATATATCCTGCACCACACTTCAAAGCACAGCTGTGTGTGGCGTGGTGGGGGGAGGGCTCTTGTAATTCAGTCCTGTGAGGAACCTGAGTCCAGCCCCATTTCCTGAGCCCCAGGCTGATTTTCAGGGACAAACAGCGCTCCAAAATGTGCCATCTGCCTGATCAGCCTCCAAAAACAAAAGACAAGGCTCCCTCCTGGGTGCCAGTCTGGCTCAGGCACAAACTCTGAGAAGGACCCAAGCTCCAACCACTCTGATCACAAACACCAAGACCCCTCCCAGAGGAAGACAGTCAGCGAAACTGTGACCTTTGGATGCACCAGGCTCCACCCCAAGGCTATGTATGAGGCAGGAGTCACACCGGGCTTTTACCCCATTCCTCAGGTGCTTCCAGACATGACTGACAGAAAAACAGTGAAACAGTCTCAGTCTCAGGAAATGCCCACAGGGTCTTCTTGTCTTCAGTGGTGCTGGAAGCCAGGAGTCTGTCTCAGAGATCTCGGCCGGCCATGCTGGGGCTGTGATGCTGGGGCTGTGTCTTGGCACCTGGGGTGCTGGGATGGGGCCGGGCGCTGCACAGGCTGCAGCCCAGCCCAGGGAGGTGCAGCACAGGGAGGAGCAGGCCCCTGCTTAGGGCTGCCTCAGGCGTGCCTGCCTCTGCTCCTGGGAGGAGGGAGGTTGTGCTCAGAGCAGAGGTGGACCTGAGGGTGGAGGTATGGGCATGAAAAGCCACAGGGATGGAAAGATGAAGGAGCCTCCCTCACATCCCTGGAGGGAGTAGCATTTGAAAGGAAGGTCCCCAGTGGCTAGGGAGTCGGACACTGGGCAGACTGTCTTGGCCTTTGATGTGTCTGCAGGGACTATTGGCAGAGAGCCCGGCTGCTTGGTTTCCCAGCCCTGAGCAGCGCTCTGCCTCCCTGCCCGTGCCTGAGCTCCTCCAGGGAAGGGGGTAGCTGACCAGCCTTACCCACCTTTGGCAGGGAGTGGCTGCCATGGCCTTGGGGTTCCCTACAAGATTTTCTCTTAACTTCTTTAATTGTAGTCTAAAGAAAAGTGCGTAAACATTAACTGTGCACCGTTTCACAGTTGCTCCCTCTGTGTAATCACTCCCAGGACCAACGTGTAAAACATCTCCACACCTAGAAGCCTCCCTCCCACCTCTTCCCATCAGCCTTCCCCTACAGCCACCATGCTCTGACATCCATGCCAGGACTCCCTCTGCCTGCTTCTGAACTTCCTTTAAAATCACACAGGACATGCTTTTCTGTGTGGCTTCTTCCAAAAGTGTGTCTGTGAGTCACCCATGCTTTCATATGCAGTAATCTTTTGTTCCTTTTCACTGCTGGGTAGTATTCCGTGGTGTGGACATACCACACTTTATGTACCCATACCACTGTTGGTGCACATTTGAACTGTTTCTCGTTTGGGGCCAGCATAGTCAAGTTTCTATGGACATTCTTATATATGCCTTTGGGCGCCATGTAAGCATCTGCCGGGGAGAGTCCCATGAGCTGAAATGTCTGGGAGCACAGGTGTTTTACTTCTCCAAGGCACCATGGTGGTATTCGGGGCTTTTCATCTTAAGCAGCAGGATGGAAAAGAAGACCCCCTGGGAACTAAAGCAAATGCACATTAGAAGCTTACATGGTATGAAGGAAATTGTGGATCTTACAGGTGTACTGTAGAAGGGTGTGTGTGTGTGTGCGTGTGTGTGTACTTACTGTTACTGCTGTAGGAGGATCTTAGAATGTCCTAGTCCAGTGATGGTGAACCTATGACACGCATGTCAGAGGTGACACGCGAACTCATTTTTTTGGTTGATTTTTCTTTGTTAAATGGCATTTAAATATATAAAATAAATATCAAAAATATAAGTCTTTGTTTTACTATGGTTGCAAATATCAAAAAATTTCTATATGTGACACGGCACCAGAGTTAAGTTAGGGTTTTTCAAAATGCTGACACGCTGAACTCAAAACGTTTGCCATCACTGTCCTAGTCAGCTTTTCCAAAATAAATTTGAGAGGACCACAAAATTTAAGGAAGGGAGAGGAAATGACTAGAGATAAGGCTGGAAAAAGAGATCAGGGTCGAGCTGCAAAGGGCCTTGAATGCCATGCTAAAGTAAGTGGACTTCATCCTGCAAGAGACAGGAATCACCAGATGTGTTTAACAAACACCTACTGGCACCTACACACCACTAGGTAGGTGTGGCAAACCAGCCTCGTCACCTACGAAGCTGAGTGAACTGCAGTTAGTGGGGGGCAGGGGAGAGAAGGGCTCAGTTAGAGCAAACAACCTGTGTCCAAGTCCCAGGTCTACCTCTCATCAGGGATGACTCCAGTAGTCACAGGATGACGTGCATGCTCAGCCACGAACAGCACATGGACATACACTGACAAATGGCGCACTCACAGGCAAATGCTCCTACATATTCTAGTACACAGCAGTGAGCAAAGGGTCAGAAGCCATGCATACAAGATGCTCCCTCCTCAGCAGCAGCCCAAACTTACTAGAAACCTAGTGCTTCATAGTAACAGAAAAGAGAGGAAATTAATAGGCCTCCAATTAGCCTCAAGTCATCTTTGCTTTAGGGGCTTGCAGTTGGATGAACTTGCTGAATAATCCAGAGTCCCAAGAAGACATTGCAAATAGTCTGGCGACGTTTCCCTCAGCTCAGTATGAGCTCTGGGGTTGGGAAGACAAGAGCAACAGTACTTAAGAGAGTCTCAGAAAAATGGGTGCCAGGCACAGGTTTCCCATGAACACTGGGAAAGGTCCACAGGGGAGCCCTCCTTTGTGCCCAGAGTGAGATGATTCGAGCCAGGCCTGGGAGAGACCACTCAAACCTGACCAAAGCAATTCTTATAGCACTGACATGGTGAATGAAAACCCTATTTGATCTTAGATCATTGTGGAGTAGCCTCTTTCTCTCTTAGAAAAGGGGGCTACACAGTCATGTTACACCTGCTCTGGTGCAATAAACAACATGGGGGAAGGGGTGTGGGGGGGAGGAAGCGAGCCTGAGAGAGCTTGGCCTTACCTCCACATACAGGAGGGGGAAAATTCCAATCTTGTCTCCCAGCATTCCCTCTGCCCAGTTGTCATCCACTCTTCTGATCACAGTCAGGATTTCATCCTGGAATTGCCAGAGCCCACAATGTGTACAACCACATGGACATCCACACAACAAGAGAGAAAACAAGAGATCTGTTAGCACTGTTGAAGCCCAGAAAAGATTCTAAGCAATGATTCAAAGAACGGTTTATTATCCATTCTGAAATATGACATGTGAAAACAGTCACCCCTTACATTTTCACCCAGGATAGCTCTCTTTTTTATGTAGTGATTACAGCTGCAAAGATTCTCAAATGTTTTCCATTTATAATATGCAGGAGCCCCTCCTTATCCTTGGTTTTGCTTTCCACAGTTTCAGTTACCTATGGTCAACTGTGGTCTGAAAATATTAAATGGAAAATTCAATTTTTTACTTTTTAAAACATCAGATGCCTATATTTGTATTTAAGAATGTCTAGCCTGGCCGGCATGGCTCAGTGGTTAAGCGTCAACCTATGAACCAGGAGGTCACGGTTCAATTCCTGGTCAGGACACATGCCCGATTTGCGGGCTCCATCCCAGGTGTGGGGTGTGCAGGAGGCAGACGATCAATGATTTTTCTCTAATCATTGATGTTTCCATCTCTTTCTCCCTCTCCCTTCCTCTCTGAAATCAATAAAAATATATTACTAAAAAAAAGAATTTCTGGTACCAAGAATTAACCAAATCTATATTCATTGCTGTGCTATTTACAATAGCCAAGATAGTCAAGCCTCCCATGTACCCATCAACAGACAAGTGGATAAAAAAGTGGTGGTACATATATACAATGGAATATTACTCAATCATAAAAACGAATGAATTCTTACTATTTGCAACAGCATGGATTGACCTAGAGGGTATTATGCTAAGTGAAATAAGTCAGTCAGTGAAATAAGTCAGTCATGATTTTACTTAAATGTGGAAACTAAAGAACAATATAAAAGAACAAACAAAATAGATTCAGAAAGCAGACTAATATTAATTGTTGCATGGGGAGGCGGGGGGCTTGCACTGGGTAAAAAAAGCAAAGTTTATTAAGAAGCACAAATTGGTAGTTACAAAATAGTCATGGGGTTGCAAAGTACAGCATAAGGAATATAGTCAATAATCTATAATAATAAAAGCATAATATGCTAATTAGACCTGACGTCCTTCCGGATGTGCTTCCTTCCAGACAAAGCCGCGGCTGGCGGGGGCCAAGGCAGAGGCAGCTGCAGTGGCGGTGGGGGTCAAGGCCCTTGCAAGAATTTCATGCATCGGGCCTCTAGTATTGTAATAATAATGTAATAATTATGTATGGTTAAGATGGGTATTGGAAATATTAGGGGGGGGACCACTATGCTGTATACCTGAAACTAATACAAAATAATATGGAATGTAAAATATAATTGAAAAATAGCAAAAAGAACTCATATAACACCACCACAACAAAAGCAATGTCATTAAAGAAGGCCTGGGGAGGGGTAGGGAGGGCGAAAGAGGGGATTAAGGGGGGAAAAGAGGGACATCTGTAATACTTTCAACAATAAAGATAAATTTTTAAAAAGTGGGCAGAGGACCTGAATATATACATTTCCAAAGAAGTCATAGTGATGGCCAAGAAATATCTGGGGGGCGGGGGAATGCTCAACATCACTAGCTATAAGGGAAATGCAAATCAATACCACAATGAGACACCACCTCACACGTGTCAAAATGGCTATTATCAATAAAATAAGAGATAAGTGTTAGTGAGGATGTGGAGAAAAAGGAACCCTTGTACACTGGTGGTGGGAATGTAAATTTGTACAGCTGCTATGAAAAACAGTATGGATGTTTCTCAAAAAATTAAGAATAGAGCTACCATGCGACCCAGCAATTCTGGTTCTGGGTATCTACCCCAAAATTTTGAGAACACTTATTTGTAAATATATACATATTCTATGTTCATGGCAGCATTATTCACAATAGCTAAGACATAGAAATAACCCAGTGTCCTTTGATATATGATTGGATTAAGCAGTGGTACATATATACAATGGAATACTACTCAGCCATAAAAAATGAAATATTGTCATTTGTAACAACATGGATGGATGGATCTTGAGAGTATTATGCTAAGTAAAGTAATTCAGATAGAAAAATACAAAATTCTTAATATTTCACTCATATGTGGGCTAGTATAAAAAAAGCAACAAATGAACAACAACAAAAACCCCTCATAGATACAGACAACAGAATTATGGTAACCAAAGGAAAAGGGGGTAAGGGAAGGACAAAAGAGGCAAAAGGGGTTAAATACAAAGTGACAGAAGGAGACAAGTACACAGGTAGTGAGTACACAATAGAGTATACAGAGATTGTGCTATTTTGTTGTACACCTAAAATTTATATAATGTTATTAACAAATGTTACCCTCAAGAAGTTTAATTTTTTTAAAAAAAGAGAACCTGAAAGAATCAATTAAAACTTATGGTACTAATGACAAACTATAGCAAGATTTCAGATAGAATATCCTATATAATAAAAGGCTAATATGCAAAGTGTCCCCTCGGGAGTTCGACTGACTAGGAGTTTGACTGCTCCCTATGACATGCACTGACCACCAGGGGGCAGTGCAGAATGAAGGAAGGCTCAGGCCGGCAGCTGGAAGGCCCCAGTCGGCCCTGATCGCCAGCCAGACCTAGGGACCGTACCTGTGCATGAATTTCATGCACTGGGCCTCTAGTTAATACATAAACATTAAACACTTTTCTATATACATGCATGCCTTGGAGATACTATGGGTTCAGATCCAGACCACTGCAAAAAAGCAAGTCATAATCTTGTTGGTGGAGGGTTTTGTCTTCCAATCGGTACAAAATGCAATATTTGCAAAGCGCAACAAAGTGAAGTACAATAAAATGAACAAGTGGAATTTGACATTAAAATCACAATAATGTTTACATTAGCATCTAAAAATAAAATATTTAGGTATAAATCTAACAAAATAAGTACAAATAGCTATATGAAAAAAACTACAAAACTCTGATAAATGAAATCAAAGAAGAAAAAAATAGAGAGATGTATATTCTCATGGCTTGAAAGCTTCAATATTGTCATAATATCAGTTTTTCTCAACTTCTACATTCAGTGCAATCCCAATCAAAATCTCAAGAAGTGATTTTATGGCAATTAACAAATTAATTATAAAGTTTATATGGAGAGGCCAAAGACCCAGAATAGTCAACATAATATTGAAAGAGAAGAACAAGAATGATACTATTTGACTTCAAGACTAAAGCTACAGTACTAAAGACAGTGTGGTGTTGGTGATAGAACATAAAAATAGATCTAATAGATCAATAAAACATAACATAGCATCTAGAAATAGACCCACATAAATATAATCAACTGATCTTTGACACAGGAGCAAGGACAATATAATGGAGAAAAGACAGTTTTTTCAACAAATGTTGAAACAATTAGACATCCACAGGCAAATAAAAATTGATCTAGACCAATACTTTATACCCTTCAGAAAAATTAATGCAAAATGGATCACAAACTAAATGTAAAACACAGAACTATAAAACCCTTACAGACTAGCAGAGAAGACCCGAGCCTTGGGTGTGGTGGTGACTTTTGAACACAACACCAAGGGTCGGTCTATGAAAGAAAGAACTGATAAGCTGGACTTCATTAAAATTAAAATTTTCGGTTCTGTAAAAGATACTGTCAAGAAAATAAAAAGACAAGCCACAGACTCATGTAAATATTTGCAAAAGACATATCTGATAAAGAACGGTTATTCAAAATACACAAAGAACTTTGAAAAGTCAATAATAAGAAAACATACAATCCAACTTCAAAATGGGCCTATGATCTTAACAAGCACCTCACTAAAGAAGACATGTAGATGGCAAATAAGCACATGAGAAGATGCTCCACATCTTGTCATCAGGGAAATGCAAATTAAAACCATGAGATATGACTTAGACACCCATTAGAACAGCCAACAGCAACGAATGCTGGTGAGGATGTGAGGCCACAGGAGCTTTCAGCCATTGCTGGTGGGGACGGAAAATGGTGCAGCAACTTTGGAAGACAGTTTGGTAGTTTCTTACAACACTAAACATACTCTGACACTATAATCCAGCAATCACACTTTTTGGCAATGACCTAAAGAATCTGAAAACTTATGTCCACACAAAAGCCTGCTCATGGATATTTACAGCAGTTTTATTTATAATCACTAAAACTTGGAAGCAATCAAAATTTCCTTCAGCAGGGGAGAGGATAAATAAGCTGTGGTAAATCCAGACAATAGAATGTTATCCAGTGCTAAAAAGAAATGAGCTAACAAGCCATAAAAAGATATGATAGAAACTTAAATGCATATTATTAAGTGAAAGAAGGCGATCTGAATATGCTACATACTACATCTAATATATGACATTGTGGAAAAGGCAAAACAATGGAGACAGTAAAATGATCAATGGTTTCAGGGGCTGGAGAGGGAGGGGTGAATCAGCGGAGCACAGCAGTGACAGCGCTCTGGATGATACGTCAAGCTGAGCACATGTTTTTATACATGAACCCACAGAATGCACAACACCAAGTGAATCCTCATATAAACCCTGGACCCTGGGTGACAGGATGTGTCACTGTAGCTTCATCAGTTGTAACCGACGCACCTCTCTGGTGGGGATGCTGGTCATGGGAGGCTGTGTGTGTGGGGGCAAGGAGGCACATGGGAATCTCTGTACCTTCTGCTCAATCCAGGCATGAACCTAAAACTGCTCTATAAATGAAGTCTATTAAAAAACCAGCTAATAGCCCTGACTGGTGTGGCTCAGTGGATAGAGCGTCGGCCTGCAGACTGAAGGGTCCCAGGTTCGATTCCGGTCAAGGGCATGTACCTTGGTTGTGGGCACATCCCCAGTAGGGGGTGTGCAAGAGGCAGCTGATCGATGTTTCTCTCTCATCGATGTTTCTAACTCTCTATCCCTCTCCCTTTCTCTCTGTAAAAAAATCAATAAAATATATATTTTTTAAAAACCCAGCTAATAATACCAGAAA